GGAAAGAGGAATTACTAAAGCACGTTAGACCACGACCCACAGAGCCCGCAGCTCTAACTAGTACCAAGTGCCAAAGCAGGAAGAACCCTGCATCACAGTACATCACAACCCTTGTATCGCAGTGCATTCCCAAGAAAACATTTCTTCTCACCTCCTAAGACGTGCAGGTGACTTTAATTGTGCATCAGCCATGCTTCCATACCTTTAGAAACAGAAAGAATCAGATTGTTATTGTTTAACACAATGTTTGTGGTGTTGGCCGGCTGCTACGGGTCAGGTTTTAATGCCTCATTTTTTTAGGTGTTGTCATGTTACTTGATTAAGAAGCTGTAAATTTTCTAGCCTGCCCTCGGTCACTAATTGCTGTACTTCTATCTGGTATTTATGGTGAACAGTTACAGTGTTTTCACGTGAGCCTTTTCTTCTGGCCCCTAGCAATTCTCATATGATGTGGGGCTTGAACTCTGGTCACAGCTTGCCCGCTGCCGATGTCCGAGAGGTCTGTTGTTTTCAGTATTATTATTATTTGTCTCATTTTTATGCACCCTTGTTTTCTATTGTCCTCCAGATAAAACCAGGCATAACTAAGGGTATGCGCTGAGCTGTGCATAAAAACATCTGTGTCTCTCTGCAAGGACCGAGTAGTTAATTTAAAGCCTGGCAGTCTGTATTAATAACTCACAGTATTCACTCCAAACACGTATCACTTTGCAGTGAAAACCTCAGGCGTGATCTTCTTGGGTTTGTCTTGCCACCCATTCGTGCAATACGGCTAAATTTTCTGAAATGCCATCATTTGGAAGAACCTGGATGTGCCACCTATGCACCCCTATTAAAAAAAATATATGCACCACAGATGGAAATAAAAAAATTAATAAAATCAGTCTGCATAATTATAGGGTTTGGGGGATTGTTCAGGATTGGGACCTTTTTTTTCTTTTTGAGAATGGCCTTTCTGGTTAATGTCAATCAGAAAGTTAAAAATAACCTGTCATTACCAGAAGGAAGGAAAAAATAAAAATAAACAGTGTTTTTAATAGTATGTTATTAGCACAGGGAGAGAAATTAGATTAGGTTAACACTCTTTTAAAAAAAACCCTCCTTTTCTGAGTGTGCCTAAGTTATCAGTTGCCCAGGAAATAATCAGACAAGCCTCTTGACTTTCACTCCTGTAAATGTAAGATACTGCAGAATCTGAGGGATTAGATGCGAAACTCTTTAAAGCATTTAAGGAGAAATCCAGAGGTTTGAAAATGAGAGAGGGGTATGCCTGGTGTGATTTAATAGAAAACGTCGCTAAAAAGTACCCACTTAGGATGTTGATGCTGTGTCTGAGTGTTTTTAAGGGCTAGCGTGCTGTGAGTGCCGCCTCCTGAACGGGACATTTGTCCCACTCTTGCGTAGTGAGAGTTGGTCTTGACACAAGAAGCGAGGTGTTAAAAACTGCTTTTAAAATTCAGGCTTTATAACCTGGCGTACTTACGGAGCAGAGGAAGGGAGCGTTTTCTGGACACGGGCCAAGAGTTGCACCCGAGCTCCTCAGACCGTGGAGAGGTGTTTTTCATGGGAATGCTTGTTAATCCCTGCCCATTTTAGTCTCAAATTCACTAATCCAGTCACACTGGGAGTGAATTCCAGATAAGATACGATGTGTGTCCTGCTTATCAGGTGTGTTAACTCCGTCTCAGGGCTTTATCTGCTTTATCGTTGGTCGGTGGTTTCTGAGTGACTGAAGAACAGGCTCTGAGCTGTAGGGAACGTACCGCCTTGGTGCTTGTGAGGTGTTTTGGGACTGAGCTGGAACAGGACTACAACGAGAAAGCCACAGAATATCATCCTTAACATTTTTTCTGCTTCAATTGCTACCAGACAGAGCAGTCGTGTTGCCAGTAGTAAGAGGCAAACCCCTGCGTTAGCTCACTGTATCCCAGATTTTGCCACCAAGTAGGAAACCTCTGCGGGATAAATTTGGTATATAATAGGAGAGTTTTTTTCTGAACTGCCTTTAGAGTATGTTGCCCTTGAGTTAATGCCACATTTAAGCAATGCTCTTAAAATGATTCCCCAATTTAAAATATAAATTATTACCTTTTTCAGGAAATCCAGTAGAGGAGACTTCGTATTTTCTGCTGATCGGCTGGTAGGTAAAGACTTTCTTCTTCCTATTGTACTTTGTAATTCTTCCATAAAATGAGTCTGTCAGGATAGAATAATGGTGGTGTGAGAGCAACTTCTCTACACAAAGGAAATTGCTGTTTGACGGCAACTTTCTGTGTAGGGACTTGAGCTCTCTGTTACGGACTGCTTGTATCTCAGAGGGTTCCAGAGACCATGTTATTATCAAACACAACTATGTCATGACAGAGATGAGTAGTAATAAGGGAGGACTGTTTCAGAAGAGATGCACAGAGGCTAGAGATAACTCAGTTTTACTTTGAAAGAGTACTTTTGGTGGTGCAAACAGATCTGTACGGTTTCTTACAGTGTAGATGTTGACAGTTGCTTGTACGCAGAAGTGCCTCCTGGCACTTGTTGTGCACTGGATTAGCAGCTCTGGCTGCACCCACACTGGGAATTTGTTTTTAGCCATATGGTAGTTACCAGCAGGCACAAAGCAATTTGACGTTTTCACACATTTTAGTAAGTCAGAGCAAAGACTGTTGGGACTGTAACCTTTATCTCATTTAAATTACATGCTTTGAGAAACCACAACACTCATGCCCAGACCTGCCCTTCCTCATGTTCGTGAGGGTGTTTGCCGTTGTTTGCAAACCCACATTCATTAACAAGGAAAGTCTGTCTTTCCCTGTGTAGCAAAGATGAGTCCAAAGACCATCCAGTTACCAGCCCCGCTTGCTGCAGCAGGCAGGTTTCCTGTCCTGAGCCCGATCCTAATCCCTGGCTGATCCAGGCTTGCTCAGGGCTTGGATGTGACCACAACCTAAGACTGTGATTGCAGTGCTTTTGATCTTCGCAGCTTTTCCACTTTCCCTTCTCGAGGATGTTTCTTGCATTCTCATTCACCAAGAACACTAAAGGCCCAAGCCACCGAATCCCATCACTCATAACTCACAGATCAGGCGAGTGACCGGAGCGCCTTCGCTGCCAATAGCGCTTGGTAACACACCGGCCCAAAGTCACAGCCCCAGTGCTCAGCAGGTCCCATTTAAACAGACCCGTGGCCTTTACAGTGCATCAGACGAGCAGGAACAGCCCCGCAAGCATCCACCACCTGCAAAAGACTAGCTCAGCCATGTGTCCTTCTTCCTGGCTTTTGTGGTTTCAAGATTCAGGAAGCCAGTGAAGGTCAGTGCCAGCAATCCCACACATTGACAGGGTGTAGGGCTCCAGCGCAGGGCTCAGGCCCCTTCCCCACTGGTGAACCTTTCACAGGAAGGGTTTCTGGTTCCTGTTCTCATTTTACCGTGTATAAGTTTCTCATCTTACTGCACCCTTTAAGGAGCATTCATTCCTGCCAACTTCTTCAAATTAATGAGAAGCAAGGTACTCCTAATCTGTATTTAAAACAAAAATAATAAATAACAGCTATTCTAATACCAACAGTCTTGACTGTACCTTTTTGTCATTATTTAATGCAGAGGACCTCTCCCACGTGCCTTCTCACTTTACTTGGAAGTCCTGTGCCATTCTGAGGGAAGCACTGATTTTTTTTCCCCCTCATTGCTAGAAACTACAGCTTCCAGGCAGGGAGTTTAGTTCAGGCTCTTGTACGAGCATCTGCTACGGGCTGGCCAGCACTTGTACACATGGGGAGCTGCTCTTCACAGAAACAGTTCTTTTTGCTGGTCAAGAACTTAGAACCGTTCTTCATTTGGAGGGAGGAATTTTATGTGAAGGACTGTCATTCACATTATGTGAATTTTATGTAGGACTGTCTCATTTTCCACGTTATTCCTTGACGTGGCAAAGGACAGTTACAGTTTCATGTGGGACGTGGCCTCTGCTAAACCTGGTGGAGCGCAAACAGTTGAGACTTGCCGAGTTTTCCACCCAGTTGGCAAACAGAGCTCAATGGCAAGGTGCAGTACGTGAAGAGAAGAAACATATACGTGGGATTACAAAATATATCTTGTTGCGAAGAGAAAATGAGAGTTAAGCTTGCTGCTAGTTTGGCAGTTTTTAGTGGCAGCATCTCATAAGAAGAGGTCGGAGGGATTCTAAAGCTCCTGAAATTCTGCTGGTACAGTTTTTCCTTCTGGCAGTTTGGTTCACACGTAAGGGTTGTCTGTATCTAAATTTTTCTGTTCGTGGACTCTGAGGAACTGGTCAAACCTGATTTCTTCAGCGGTATTTGAGTGTGGTAAGGAGATTTTATTCATGTGCTTAATTGGCTGAGAAAAGGTAGAGTTCACTAATATTTTCTTATCCTTGAAATGTTCACGTGGTAGTCAGCTCAAACTCCTTGGACCTCTATTAACAGTTGCTTTTACTAACAGTTCTAACAGATCCTATACTAAAAGGTTTGAAGCAAACAGTATTTCCTTTTGTTTACTACAAAGGCCCTGGGCTAAATATTAACTGTAGAACTGCAATAAATGAGCACACTGACATATAAATTTGAATAGCAGCATTAAGTGCTTAATCTAAAACTTCAGCATAACTGTAAGCTGTGACAGTTTAACTGAGCCTGCTAGAATTTAACATCCCTTTTAGCTTTTTTCTTTTTCCTCCAATTTAAAATAGACTTCAGTTATTGTTATTGGTAACTCTAATTCATGGTTTTGATTTCTGGTCAAACTCATCTACCGTGGGACCAAAGCTTTACTTCCCTGCTCCGTGTGGGGCCCTACTTGTACCTGTTTTAGCTTCTCCGCTCTGGGAGAGGAGCAGGGCTGAGGCTCTCAGGGCCAGAGAGAAAGGGGATGGAAATTACAATCCCTGAGCGTGGGAGTGGCCAAAAGCATAGCGCAAGAATAAATGTTTTATCAACACTGACAAGTTTACAGCAGAATCCTTTCCTGCCTCTGTGTAAAACATTGATATGTGTAGTAAACCCAAGGAGATTATTTGACTGTTCACCTTCACTGCTTTACTCTAAACTTCTGGCAGGTAATGTGGAGCGATGCTAACTCTGCCAACATGACAGCAGTGAAATAACTTTAAAAAATAAAATAAAAATAAAAAAAAAAATAAAATATTCCAGAGGACTGAAATTAAATGGAGGATTTTTTTTTTTGGCTTACGTGGAAGATGTGTCTTTCAGGAGAGGAAGACTGGTGCCTTCAGTCTCAGGATTAAAGTGACTGAGTCAAAAAAGACTGAGTCAAAAACCCTACTTGCAGAGAGACGGGAGGAAGAGGAGGAGAAGGAGGAAGGTGGTAGAGCTGGCTTCTCCGTATTTGCTCCCTGAAACCACCAAACATGCACTGAGTCAAGTGCAAAGGGGACTGGCAATCCCAAAGGGCCTGTTTCCCATAGGCAGGTGTGCTCCAGTGAGAACACCTCCCTGTGCATTGCTCCTTCAGTCTTTGGCTCCTCTTAAAGGTCGGCTGCACCCTTCGACCCCTTCACTGATCTCGGCTGACCGTCGGCTGCCCGCTGCCTCTGGATATGGCTGCCACAAACCTAACTCCAGGGAAAAACTGTTGTAGTAAAATGGCTAAAAATATCTTCAAAGAGGGACTGTAAATTTAAGGGACTATTTCTAACTCCTCGCAGAGGCTGCCTGCATGCTAGGAACTAGGGCAGAATGGAAGGACAGAAGAAAATCTCCCAGTCTGCCCCGTTTCTGAAAGCAGAAACATCTGCTGTGAGCAGGATATACTTGCTCAGTCCCAGGAGCAACCGCCTCATTTCTGCCATCAAACGGTGACTTTTGCGTAACAGGTTCCATCTTCGCCTTGGCAGTAGCTTTCCCTGAGCAGTTCTGCCCCAGGAATCTTCGACTCGCTGGCAGACAGAGTTTTTACATCTTTAATACCCGTAGTGTCTTTCACGGGCAGTCAGTTTGGGTTCAAATCAACATGGTTTGGTAACTTTGCCGGGTTAGTTACCCTGATAAGGAACTTGGAGTACAGCTGCAGGGCCAGCACTGGGGGAGAGCTGGAGGTTTGCTGGCCGGGAGCTGCGCCTCCAGCAGCGATGTCACCGTGCAACTGGGCCACCCGTGCTCAAGTCACTCCAGCTGGCAGGTGCCAGAAGAAGGTGATCAAGAGGTTTCGAGGGCTACTGACTTGTCTTTGGGCACTCTGGTGCTTTTTCATTGCTGCAGCTTCTGTGGCCGTTCCGGCAGCCGCACGGCAGCTTGGTCAGAGAAATAGGGATGTGAAAACAGACCTCGGAGCCCAGCTGGTTGGGAACTGAGAGACGGTGAATTTTCCCTCTTTCTCACTAGTCTTTCCTGCAGGCAAAAAGAAGTTGCAGTGGAGCTTCACTTGTTTGGTGAGAAAAATTTGTCTGTGATGCCTACGCCAGCCTCCCCACCCCCCTTCATTTGATCTGTGGACAAAATGTAGGCATCACCCTCAAAAGGTCTCTAAATTCAGTCCCTAAGTACTATTAAAGAGATCCTTTCAGACCCTTGGGGCTGTTAGGTGTTCACCCAGCACTTTTGAAAACTACTAACATGTAGCATCTTATCTGCATAGATAACGAATGCCTTTAGGCTGACTGATCTCTTTGGTTCTACAGATCAGACTTGTGGTTGAAGAGGGACTGAATCAACTGCCATACACAGAATGTACCGTGACCACTCCAACAGGTACGTGGGAAATGACTCCTCCCTTAAACCTCCACTTCCAGTCCTGCCTAACTAATACCAAAAAAAATAATATGGACTTGTTCTAAGAATCATAGAGTATCTTGAGTTGGAAAAGAAAAAATAAGAATCATCGCATCCAACTCTCTGCTCCTCACAGGACTACCTAAAACTGAACCATGCAACCAAGAGCATCGTCCACACGCTCCTCGAACTCAGACACGCTTGGTGCTGTGACCACTTCCCTGGGGAGCCCGAGGCTGAAACCGTTTAACGTTCAGGGTAGAGGACAGAGTTAAGGTCCCTTCCAATACTAAAAAATCTAGAAGGTGCCCAACACCACCATTGAGCAAAACATACAGTCGTGCAATTGTCATTTTTCTAAAGTTTTAAATTGTTTTTGCAAACCCATGATGAAAATTTTGCCAGCGTAACTTCTTGGGAACTGCTCAAATACATGCTGTGAACCCACAGCACCGCTGTCAGGCAGACACCCGGTGAGTCCTCCTCCCCCTGAGAATTTCCTGGGTGTTTCTGCCGGCTGGGAGCAGCTCTGTACAGTCACACCCTCTTCCCTGCTGCCCTCCACGGTAAATCATTCGTACGTCTTAGAGGAAAGATGGACTGAAAATACACAATTCTGAAACCAAGCAGAGTTTGGGGAGGCACCATCACTTACCTTTGCAGCAGCTACTTCACTTGCTGAGCGTTGGCCTGACGCTGTTCCAGGTCGGTTGGCGATGGAGGGGGTGGTGACCATCTGGTCTCTGCATTACCTGATTTGGCTGGCAGGTCACCTGCAAGTAACATCGCTTGGAAGCTCTACAGTTCTTTCTGACTGGGCCACTGCCCCGTCTGTGGGCGAAGAGAGCCTCGCACCTTCTTCTGAGCACGTCACCAGGGTGAAAAGACTTTGTTTTGTGCCCTTTCTCCAAGCCACGCTGTAATTAGTCTCACCATCTGAACCTGTCCCAGCTCTGCGGCCGGTGATTTGCTCTTCTCTCCTGCCCAGGGAGGGAGGTAAATTGGCCTCAGCTGAGCTCTTCCAGTAGGGTGTCCCTTGAGAACTCTGGTGCTTCTGTGTGAGTCCCTGCTAC